CAGACAGTCTGCTTGTGGGTTTAGGAAATTAACTTCCTTTGCTATAATAATTTTTTGAAGTCTTGGTATCTGTTAAAATAGATTTGCCTTAAGATCCCAGTACTTTTCAATTGCTTAGCGCTGTCTCACGTTCTCCTGCTCCAGATGTAAACGGCCCAGATGATTAGCGTTTGCATTCTTATCCAGACGGATACCTTTATCTTGAGACTGATGGGTGTGTCCGCAGGGCCACCTCCCATTAGCCCCAGCAACATTCCATCCTGGCTGTCCCCACTGCCCCTGTCTGCTCACACTTTGTTGTCCCTCTTGGGGCGAAGTGAGACGGGAGGGGAGGGCCTTGTTTATTGTAAAGCTTGTCATGGACTCTTTTTTTCAAGCCTCCAGTTTGCTCCTAGAGCCCAGTGAACACGAGTGTTGGGTAACGTCACGCGGCTGACTCACCCGGGACGCTGCCCCTGTGGGGAGAGTGACAGACGGACAGATGGATCTCCCACGGGAGCAGGGCTCTCTCTGGGGGATCCAGGGTTTGCCTCTTTGTGTCCTGCTGGCATCAGCATTTCCAGGTTTGTGTATTCTGAGCTGTGGTGGCCCTGACCTTCCTCTTGGCTCCAGGCCTGAGGCTCACCTCAGTCTTCAAATCCTTAGCACACGTGCCAGGAACCTGCCCCGGGTCACAGAACGAATCCTCGATGAGGTGAAGGTGTGCTGAACTCCCTCACATCCTCTTCACATATGGACTCATTTATAGAGAACCATCAGCTCCGATTCGTGATTTCTTCTCGTAGCAGGAAACTTGCAAGGAGGCACAGTTGTAACACAGTTGCCTGGTTACCAGAAACACTGGGATTTGATAGTGAGCAGTGGCTTTCAACTAAGAGTATCTTTGAGAAAATATGCGTAGAAGAATTTAATGGCTGTTCTAATTCGCCTGCCTCTGCTGCCTTCCCTCACCCCGTTTTCACTGTCGTCGTTTTCCGTGTATGGCCTGTGAGCTGGTGAGGAACTCCTCCAAGCTGTTGTGGTTGGCTTTCTCTTTCAGGGGTCTGATTGCTCCCCGTCACGACCTGTAATTCTGGGAAGCCCCCCATAGGCTGAGTGGGTGCTGAAGATTCCTGGTTAAAGAGGATGCGGATGCAATGCTTGGCGGGGTGTCAGCATGACCCAGCTCTCCGGAGGTGACGGCCACCCTTTCCCTGTCTGCGTGTGGGGAACCAGTCACATCGGAGACTGGCTTATTCTTCTGCTGCACTCAGGGCCAAAACCGCTCAGCTCCCGGGCTCGGTCCCTGCCAGTACGATGGCCCAGAGCAGCTGCGGCCCCACTTGTCCAGGCTGCCAGGAGAGGTTGCTCAGAAGCGACGTCCCTGGCCCGCGGGCGGCTCGGAAGACAGGGATCCGCCGCGGTCAGGCTGGCCACAGACCTGGCTGTGCACTGGGGCATCTTGTGCAAAGTGGGTCATGCCGTTCCCGTGACCCCAGATCACCGGGCAGTGTGTCAAGGGCTTTGCAGGGCCCCGTGCCTCTCCCGTTCCTTTAGAAAAGTACAAAAGAGGAAAGTTCAGCCCACAGGCCATCGCTCAGCAAGTGCCCAGTCCACCCAGTGGGGTGGGCCAGCCCGGCCAGAGGAGTTCACTCGCTGAGACCTTTTGTCCTGTTCCTGTGCACAGCGGACAGGCAGCCAGGGAGCTGTGAAGGGGCGGGCACGGTGCTGGCAGGCAGGCTGCTCTGGGGATGCAGGGATGCGGACAGGTGGGGGTGCGGTTAAGAATGGTGCCGTGCCTGTCGGCCATGTGCTCTCTGCACTGTGGAACTGATTTCTGTGGACCACGGTGGGCAGGGAGGGAGGGACAGGTGGCCTGTGGCCCTGGATCACTGCCCTCAGCCAGCAGTGCCCTCTCTCTCTGCTCTGCGGTCACCTTCGTGGGGTGGCCTACAAGTACACTTTCCAAAGTAAATCTCCACTCTGATCTCATACTGTTTGACCTGCCTCAGCCTGGAATTTCATTCCCTGCTGCATCCTTTGTGCCTCTGTGCCTGACATGTGGTAGCACGTGGTCAGCATGGGAGTGAATGAAAAGATGGATCCATGGTGTCGAGGGATCTGCATGTGCGGCCAGCTGGACAGCAGCACGGTGGTGCTGAGGAAAGAAGCTGCTGGTGAAGGCGTCCCTCGGTCACCTGTGTAAAAACACACAGCCCCCCCAAGGTTGTCCCAGGACGTGTCCAGTCATGGGCGTGGCAGGGGGAGTGACTGGGGAAAGCATTTAACGTGGCCGAGTCCAGCCCAGAACCAGGCCTGTGATTCCCAGACCAGGACACTGCAGGTTAGGGGCCCGTGTTCCACCTCGTTTCAACCAATGTTTCAGGAATAAGGAGCAACTCTCTTTGAAAATTCTTACTGTAGGGATTTTCTGCGCATGTTCTTTCAGAGAACATTGGGCCAGCTCCTTCACGCGTGCTGAGTTTGACCGTGAAAAGTTCTGCAGACCTAAGGGGAGAATTTTCAGGCTGGGAAGAGATGCCGGCAAAGAGCAGATGTGCCGTTACTGACAAGCCCCTCTCGCGTGTGCCTTCGTGGAGGAGATGCTCCATCGGGGAGCGCGTGCCCCGTCAGTCCGTGGGGCTGCTGCTCAGGACGGGTTTGGACTCGGATCATTCGGGACAGGTGGCCGGTGGCAGACGTCTTCCATGTCTCCCCACGCCACAGTCCTCATCTCTTGGGAGCCTGCCTCTGGGTCCCGCCCGCTTGGACTGAAATTGTGCCTCACGGTCACCCTGGCTGCTCTTCTGTTGCTGTGACATCAGCACCGTCATCTGTAACGATGGGTCCCCTACCCCATTCCTGGGCTTCTTGGTTTTCTAAGTCCCCTGATGGTTTTCTAGGTCCCCCACGTGCATGCCACAGGTCTGTGTCCTGTCGTTTCTGGACATGCCTTTTCTTGTGTTTCCGGCTTTTCTGCATCCTCCCTACACAGAAACCAAGCCCGGTTCCAGGCCCCTGAAAGGGCTCTTAGTTACAGATTTGAGTGATGCCCTCCCTGCTCTGTCAGATGTGCCCCGGGCGTTAGAGCCCGTTTGCTGTTTGGCGGGACTTTCACAGCCTGCCTGGTGTTACACGTGTATGCACGGCTTGTTCATGCCACATTGCACATCCTCTCGTTGGCAGCCTGGATTGGTTTTGGTGTTCAGTATCTGCCTCTCCCCCCTTGTGAACGTCCAGTCTGCTCCAGGTCTCCAGGCGTGCCCCTGTGTCTTTCCCTATTCCACCGTCCTTTGTACACAGTAGGTATTTAATTAGTACGTTCACATCACCCTTGTCTTACTGAGATAATGTCTCCTGCTGACAAGCTCCTGTCTCCTGAGATGTCTTTCCACCCTCGGCTGCTGTCCCCCCGGGGGTGTTAGGACCTGCAGTGGGCGTTGCGGGCTCACTGGTGGCGTTTGGTGGGCAAGGATGCGTGGCCGGCCGGCAGTGCCCACTGTGGAGGAGAGGCCGCGGCAGCCACAGTAGGAGACTTTCACGGGAGGACCTTGGCTGCACTAGACCATTTGCTCTTCTTAACAGCTGTAGAGGCAGTTTATTATTTCCTCCATGTCACGGGCAGGAGGTCCAAATAACTTGTCTACAAATAGCTCAGTTTGGGGAATTCAGGTCTTTTGCTTCCTTAGGTAGGTTTATTCCTAGGTATTTTGTTCTTTTTGGTGTGATGATAAATACGATTGTTTCCTTAATTTCTCCTTCTGCTATTTCATTTAAGTATACAGAAATGCAAGATTTCTATATATTAATTTCATATTCATGGGTTTTATCAATGAAATTAGGCAAAGGATACATACACTGTAGTGTGACAGGCCAAAGAGAGAGGTAGCATTAAATGATTAACTGCCTAGTTAATTAAACCAATTTTGCCTTTGCCCTTAGAAGGTGGTTATAAGAGGAATGACCAAGAAAGTTGAAAACATATGCCTCCTAACTTTAATATAGAAAATCTAGCCAATATGCCATGAAAAGATGCTAAGCTACCCTGTAAATGCAAATCTTAAATGGGGGGGAAATGTAGGGAGTTATAAAATCTTAGGAGGTGGAGACAGTCTCCTATCAGTGCTTGTAGATCCATCTTGTCTTCAGTAAAATAAGCAAGTGGTATATACACTACTCAGTTGTAAGTGTTTTTCCAGCTTTTTTTTTCTTGCAGTTACCACAGAATATATTTTGCATCACAGCTCAATACATCATACTTAGAAGAGAAAGGAACACTAACACTGAAGGTTCACGAAACAGTGTATCTTCATTCTCACTGAGGGCGCAGCTCTCTTATTATGACCAGTTTGTTATTTTGAATGAGGAATTGACTTGATCATCTGTTCACTGGTCGTGATCCACAATGGTCAACACATCCATTTGGCGTGACTTTTTTTGAGCTCAAGAGAGAGAAATCTCTGAAATTTACACCTAAGAAGTGGTACGAGTGGGTTCCTTCTAAAAGTGGGGCTGAGGGGTTGTGTTGGAGCCAAGTGATGAGCTTTTCTCACTTCCTCTTCATTTTAACTGTTGGGATTTTTTTCCTGTGGACGCGAAGTGCTTTAAGACAGTGCTTGGTCAGAGCACCCAGCAGAGGACACCGCCTTCTCCCCCCGACCCGCGTGCCTGTCTGCCGACCCCCCACCCCCTGTGCCCCCCCGCCCCCCCTCACCCAGTCCTCCCCTCCTCCCCGCTGAGACCGCATCTTCACCGGGAGAGCTGTTACGGAACTGAGAAAAGCAGCACAGAGAACTGGTGCTTCATTTATGAAGTGAATTCACAGGATGGTGTCTTTCCTCTGGATTTTCAAATTAGAACTAGCACATAACTTTTGTGAGTTTAAAAAAGAAAATTTATCACAAGGAACTTAAACCTTGTCTAGAGCATATTTGCGAAGCGTTTGTTCTTGTTCTATGGAAAAGTACCGTACAAAAAGCATTTTAAGTAGAGATTAACTCATGTTTCTTTTTTCTTAATAGGTTTGAAAATGGAACACTTTGATGCTTCACTTAGTACCTACTTCAAGGCATGGCTAGGCACCCGAGGTAAGGTGGTTTGGGGTTCTGCTTACTCTCTCCCCTCCCTCCCCCCGCCCCTTGTTATAGGCACTTTTAAATATTGCATGAAGAGATTCTAAAAAACACCAGCGTTTCCTGTGATTAAACTGATGCTTTGTCCTGGACACCAGGGGCTTGGAGTCCCCTGAGGTCGTGACCTGATGCAGGGCACCCTGGCTGCCGGAGCAGAGACCCTGGCGCTTTGACCCTCCGCGGACTTGAGCGGGAGATGAGATGTGCAGCTTGTGACCAGGGAGTGGTCTCGCCACGCTTGGTGTCACATCTCCCTCCGTTCTTGTGACTCTCCAGCTGAAATGGCTTTCCACAGTGCGGCGCTGCAGGAGGAATGAAAACCCTTCCCTTTTTACGATTTTAAGGGCTTTTTCATGTCCTCCCGTGCTGTGGCACATCGGTGTGTAAATGTATACACCTGGGCTCGCTCCTTGTCTTTCTCTTCCTCTTTTATTATCTTGTAGGAAGCAAGTCAGCTCCACACAACACCTGCTTCTAGTGTCGTCTAACGTCTTATCTGTAAAGAAGGAACTTTGAGGCTCATAGAACGAGTCATTGGGAAACTGCAAGAGGCTTTTAAACAGATAAAGAGGTTCTCAGTTTGACTCATGATTTTTAAAATACAAAAGGAAGCAATAGAAGGAACTTCATCTGTTAGTACAGCAGAGATTAAATCAGGCTGATACCATCTGTGCTGATAGCGAGGATGTGGAGAAAGAGTCTCACTTGCGGTAAACTCTCTGGGGGGCAGTGGTGTTTTCTGTTGAAATTAAAATGCCCTCAGCAGAGTGAGGACCGTCCTTCGCAGCAGTGCTTGTCAAAACTGGAAACACTCTAGATGCCCATCAGTAGGGGACAGGTTGGCGTCCAGCCCGTGGAAAGGAACAAGCCAGATCTATCTCTGCCTGTGTTGGGAGGATGCCTTCTTTTAGTTTTATGGGAGCACCCCCCCCTCAAAAATCCAATTTTGAAAGGCTGAAGCAACAGTAAAATTACTAGGCTATGTTACAAGCTCTGGGTTATTTCAGGGACTCAGTGATGTTACCCAGGGACCCCATCTTCTCATTTCCTACTCCACATACCTCAGTGAGCAGCTGCATCCTCTGGAGAGGTTCCCCCACCTTTCGTGGTTGCAGGCTGCCTGCTGCCACTCCAGGCTGCACCTCCAGAGGCGGGGAAAGAGATCGGATCATTTGCATGATTTTAACCGCACAAACTGACACCTCCTCAGAGCTCAGGGGTGCCTGAGTCGGAACCAGTCACCAGGGTATGGGGTGAGGGCTCAACAATCGGTCAGATCCCCAAGGAGTTACCACCTGGGTTGGGGCCAGCCACCCAGGAGGTACTTGGAGCCTTGGTGACACGGAAAAGTGGAGATTTGTTATAAAATTTTAAAAAGCAAGGTGCAAAACAGAGCTTTAAGTAAAAGGAAATGGGAGGTTTCTGTGTGTGCGCTGTGTTTGTGACACATACGTGTGTGCACACAAACGTACGGAACAGTCTGATGTTAGCTGCTAAGCAGGAACTTGTTTTCTCAGAACTGACACCTTAAGACCCAGAGCTGAGAACAGAAGGTGTTGAGAATCGTTCCGCAGGGCAGCCCCTTCCTTGAAGGGCTTCTGAGAAGCACAGTTCAGCAGAGCCGACAGTAACCATCTCCAGCATCCCTGCATCACTGGTGGGGTGGGGGGGGGCGTCTCCCTCTGAAGCTGATGGAAGATACACTGACAGGGGGTGGGGAATTTAGAGCGTCTGCAAGAAGGGAGACTGACGGTGGTTCTCCCAGGGGTCCTGTGCACTCCCTCACCTCTATTTGTCCTACAAGGTCAAGGGAAAGAGCGCTAGAGAGAGAAGCAAGATGGTCCTGCCGGGAGGTCAAGGAGGGGCGAAGACTGTCCCCTCTTGGCTGCTTCTGCTTAGAAGGTGGGATGGAACCCACAGATGCCTCAGCGCTCCTTGGGGGTGGGTGAGGCTCAGGGAGGTAGATAGGTGGAGGGGTTGCAGGTTTGGGGGCTCCCCATAGCAGGATGCAGAGGTGGCTTCCTGGGATCAGCCAGTGGATGGAGTCAAATCTTGCAGGGGACAAGTGACACGTGGGGGATCTGGCTGCCGGGGAGTCCGCCCCCATCCCGGGGAGGGCTGTCAGGATGCCGCCAGCAGCTACTCGGAACTGATTTCCCTTTTACTTCTTCCTGCCTAAGAAAGGAGAGGGGAGCAGAGGAGGTCCCTCCCGCACCAGGAATTTTCTGGAATCCGTGTAGGTCTCCTCTCTTAAGTCGATCACTGCTGCTTCACAACCTCCCTTCAAAAAAAAGTCATTGTCCCCTCTTCTGGTGACCACGGCACTCACAGCAGTTGCTGCCCGTGGGATTGGGGACCGTCACTGAGCTGGCCAAGGGCACGTTTTCTGAGTCCACACCTGCTGGCAGACCTGCTGACCCTTGGCAGCGACGGAGGACCCTGGCGCCCAGAGACAGTGTGTCGGGGTTTCATGGTCCCATGCATAATTCAGCCAGCCTGGTTAATAAGTCCAGTTAGTGGAAACATTAGCTTTCTCCTTGTTTTCTTGAAGAGTCTTTGGAAAGGATTTTTAAAAACTATTTTACTTAGCAAAACCCATGACTGACAGGCACGTTGTCACGTGATCCAGCGCTTCACCCGGATGCTGTGTGTCAAAGACTCGCATGTCCTCTTCTTTGCTTTGTTGGCTTAGGGACGTCAGTGTTAGGTGACTTGTAAAATTGTGGTTAGAGACATTTTTTTTTAACGTTTGAAAGACATTCTGGTCATTTTTATATCTACGTTATCACTCATGAAATGTTGTTCTTTGACTGTGTCCCAGATCCCAGGGTAAAAGGATGGTTTCTCCTGGACAATTACATCCCGACTTTCGTCTGCTCCATCCTGTACTTGCTGATTGTATGGCTGGGACCAAAATACATGAAGACGAGGCAGCCATTCTCTTGCCGGGGGATTCTGGTGGTGTACAACCTTGGACTCACACTGCTGTCTCTTTATATGTTCTGTGAGGTAGGTCAGAGGTCGGCGCGGCCCCCTCTCCCTGGAAGGTATGGTCTCGCTGCCCTGAATTGGGCTCCTAAGGGAAGAAGGGCAGAGGCGGGGGTGGGGGGAGGCGGGACCGGGGAGGGCTGGTACAGGAATGTGTTCCGAGGATGTCTTAAGATCGATTTTTCAAAATGCCAGAGTTATTTGTACAAATGCGCCTTCTGGAATATCTAAAATAGAAGCCATGGCTATTGATTCTTTCATTATTTATGTTTTGTGTTATACTCAGACTTAAAATAAATGTTTCAGAAATACTCTTATGCAGGCAAAATACAAAGTGGAAAAACGAACAGAACGTGAAACCCAGCCCTGTGAGCGTTTTGTTATTCAGCATTTAATAAATGCCTGGTTCTTGTTTGGAAGCTGACGGAGGGAGGAGGTGGGCAGTGCGTGAGTTGGGTGTGTTTGGGTAAGTCAGCCTCCCTTCCTGATCAGATCGCTGCAAACAGCCGCGATCCGAAAGGTTAGTTTTTCAAAGCTAAGTAGAGTGGATAGTGGGGTCTAGGTTGAGGGTTTGCATGGTCTGTGTAAGTTCAGGTCTGATTAGTTCTCTTATATAGCAGAGATGTGGAAAACCAAATCGGATGATCTCAGAGGCTTAAATAAGAGTGAAAGACACACCGGAGCCAACGCCTCCCTATTGGACAATCTAGGAAATGAGCCTTTAAAGCTAGAAGGGGAGGGAGCTCTCTTCCCTGGAAAGCACGATTTGTGTACGTTTTTAGGGGCAGAACTGTGCCGTTGAGGTTTGCAACACAAAACTGTTGCTGAATCTCTGGGGTGAATTTCAGCCCCACGTGACCACTGTCGCGTACTCCTGCTTAGATCTTTAACCTTTCAGTGTGGTTTTAATTCTCCAAGGCATAGTAAAGGAGAAGGGGGGAAATTACTATGCATCTGAAAATGAATCCCCCATCAGCCCAGGGCGGTGACAGGGGTCTCCCGGCTGTGTGTGGGTGGGTGGCTGCAGGAGCCAGAGAAGGACCCACAGCTTTGGGAGATCCGGGTCTGGTTCGGAAGCCCAGGGAGAGATTTCTGACTGGGGTGGTAGATGGATGCTCCTGTCACAGCTTCTATGCCTGACGTTTTGTGAAATGCTTACAGCTCCTTTTCTGCTTTTTTTTTTCCCTGCTGTGTTCTAGAGCGAAGGCAGTTTAATTAGCCTCCCAGACGGATATCGCAAGGCTGGTGCCCAGGACTGGGCCCGGCACCGAGCTCATCTCCGTGTTCCAGGGACAAAGCCACAGCCAGCTGTCAGGTCTCAGGGTGAACTGTTCGCTTTCCCGTAATCGATTAACAGTAGAGCCATTTTGTTAAGAAGGCTTTGTAGAGTTTATTTATCACACGTAGCAGTATTCTAGAGAAGGCATATTTAAGACTGTTAAATCTCATAGAACTAAAGTATCTGCCTTAATATGTTTCTCCAGCCCTAGAGATACAATGACAACTTCGGGGTCGACCTCTCTCAAGCAGGTGATTCCCTGTAAAGAGGGGAAGACAAGTGCTGTGTAAATGGCTGCTCCCTGCACGTGAGTGAGTCTGGGGGGCCCTGAAAGCACTGTCGTCAGAAGTACAGATTTTCCTCCGACAGCTTGGCGAGAGCGTTACAAAACATGGAGCAGTGTCTAAGCCCTGAATATATAGAGATTCGGGCAATACACGGAGGAGGAAAATAACCGTTTTAAGCCACAATTTAACGTGCATAGAGAAGTCATAGATAAGGTGGCAGTAATTCCTTAAATCGAGTTTATAAAAATAACACCCAAATCAGATATTCCTGAGTTGAAAATAAACCCAGCTACCCACCTTAGTTGATATTTGCGTTTGATTTTGTCTAATTCTTCTTTTTTTTCCCCCTATACTTACTTAAGCCCATCTGTAATACTCATATTTTTGGTCAGCTTTTAAATTTCACTTTGACTACTGGTTTCTCTCTCTCTCTCTCTCTCTTTTTTTTTTTTTCTCCCTGCTTGGCATTTATATTCCAGTGAATCCTGCAGGGCCCAGCTGGGCCCCTTATTTCAGAGGAAGCCCCGAGGGTTGAAGCCACTGCCTGAGGTCACACCACTGGTGTGGTCACACTGTTAGCCTCTATTTATCCTCCTGCTTATCTGCCTGTTTGGGTCTATAAGGAATTTAAAAAAATAGACATGTGGCCATTGATACTTTTGTTTATTTAACCCCGTGGTGTGAATTCAGAGCTGCCTTGGCAAAGTTCTAGGCTGATGCAAATGAAATGAACTGTTGCTTAAAGACGACAAGGAAGAATCTTGGAAGAGGGAGATAAAAAGGAAACTGAAAAGGGAATCACTGAAGCTTTAAAATGGCCAGAAGGAAAATAACCAAAGGACTGTCTCAAAACTGTGAGACTGAGTTTAGGATGTAGAAAGAACGTGGACTTGTTCCTGGCTTCTGCGTTGGGTAGAAAGAAAATTAAAAGGAGAAGCGTGGCCTGACTTCTGATTGCCTCAGGAACTTGTCCTTTATTTCCGGGAAGAAAACCGTAGCTCCTTGAATAGACGCGTATTTGAACACTGGCACGTTTTAGTTTAGAAGGAGAGGACTTTAGGGCAAGCCTTTTAGCTTTTACTTGTTAAATTAGGTGTCGTGTAGGATCAGTCCGTGGAGACGGCTCAGGACTAAAATGCCCAGACACAGAAGAGAAGCAGCTTAGTTTGCGTTCATTCCTTAGTTTTGTAACTGTTTTCATAGCAAACATAAAAATCTTGTGTACCTTTTTACCCCCCAAGATCTAGGGCTTATTTCATCTCAGTGGAAGCCCACCTATTTTTTTTCCAAACTATCCATATCCTTCCCTTTGTCCCTGAGATTGAGAACCCTCATCTCCCTGATGCCAGATGGTGGCTTTTTCCTCATTTTGCATGAGGAAAATAGAGCTGGACTCCGGGTTCCCCGGGCCGTCCCGGTAATATGACTCCTTAGTTAACACATCACTCAGGCACCTGCTCTGTCCTGACAGGCAGCCTTTTTGGTGTGTCCGCCCCTCTCCTGACCTCTGGACTCCTGTCACCTTAAGCAGCGAGGATCTGATTGCTTGGCTTGTCACAGTCCAAAGGGCAGTGTCCCCACTGACCCCCTGGTCTGTGCACGGATGCCAGGGCTCCTCTCACCCCAATCCTGGTTCTCCCTTAGAAACTGCTTCCTTTGGACCTAAGCCTGCCTTGGTTTGACAGTGCCTGTCTCGTTTCTGAGGACCCATCTCAAGGTCAGCTCCTCTGTGACATCATGAGGGCACCAAGTGGGAGCAGTGACCCCAGCCTCTCCTTCACTCTGAGAGTTTACGTGTTTCATTAATTCAGGAAAGTGCTCAGGCATCATCTCCTCCTCCTCCGTCGTCTCTGTCTGGGGCTCCTGTTGGACGTGTGTTGGACTCTCACCCTCTGCACGTCCTCACATTTTCTGCATCTTTACACCTGCCTTCCAGGCTCCTCTGATTCACTCGTAGTTTTAGTTGTGTCTGATGTGCTATTGCATCCATTTTTGGTTTTACTTTACATCTTTTATTTCTGAAAGTTCCCTGCTTGACCTTTTTTCATCCCATAACAAGGAATTGTTAGGTTTTTTCCCTCCATAGCTTGGATATGACCGTGACCTCAAACTTAACCATTTGCTGTATTGCTTTTAAAAATATTCTTTCAAAAGTTTTCTTTTAGCTGTGTCTGTGAGGTCGTGCCTCTGGGAATAATTATTATAGCTATGTTAAATTTCTTTACCTCTTTAAAAACAAAACCAGAACGGTTTTTTGGGTGTGAGCATCCCAAACTAGTGTTGCTGGGGTCATCTCAGATAACTGTGTCCTCCCCAAATAAAGAGTTTTTCAAAAGGACTTGAGTGTAAGCTCACTTCCTCTTTCTGAGTTATTTTTTCTGGGGGAAACCTCACCTTATAGTTAGGCATCAGCAATGTTGGAGGGTTTTGTTTTGGCGTTCCACGTAGCATTTCTGCATTAACAGTGGGGGAGCGGCTTCTGCTTTTCTTCAGTTCACGGCTTTGCTAGAACCACAAGTCAGTCGTTTTTTTGTTTGAATTTTCTTTTAAAGATTTCCGATGCTGCTTTATTGGGAAGATGAAAGAAATGGGGCATTTGATGGGAAGGGCGTTTTGCTTCGGCTTTCTGCCCTTTGTGGAGTTGGTGCCGTCGACCCTTCCCCCCCCACCCCGTCCCCCGGTACCCCCATCCCCCCGGGCACCTGACTGCGCTGCCTCCTGGCTCTGGCTTTGAAGGTCCTCGATGGAGATGCAGAGCAGCTACTCTGGAAACATCGTATTCTAAACAGTCTCGTTGTTTTTCTTTCCCTTCAGGCTTTCCTAAAATAGCTATGTTATTGTGGGAAAATAAGATTTGGAAAAAACACTTAAAAGACCTGCCCAGTCATAATTGGTCAGTTTTATTTAAAAAATGCTTACGTGTACCAAAAAATACTTTGAAAAAGACCATCAGGACTGTTCTGCTTGACCCCACTGAGCAGAGGTGCAAAGAAGTTGAAACCCTGGTGAGACTGATACTTGGAAGAGAGGCCTGACCATTACCTAAAACGCCTGTCACTCTTAGTTCCTGCACAACTGAAATTCCCCACTCAGAAGGAAGCTTCTCTCAGAGACTGGAAACACTGCCTGGGTTACTTGCCTGTCCGTGCACCTGGCATCGCCCTGCGAGAAGGACTTAGCCCAGCCCGCCCTCCCCACAGCCACACACCCAGGGGACAGGGAGGGGATGCCTTCCAGTGCAGAGGAGGCTTTGGCATTGGTCTGGAGCCACACCTGACTTGTCTGCATTGACCTGCAGACCTTCGTAACCTTGGCCTTGTAGCTGGTATGACCCAGAGCCACTCTGCAGATCCTCAGTCAGGAGGGAAGCTGGAGAGCCCTCTTGAAATTTTGCAGGGGATGCTCTGGGGGGCTTCTGTATACAGTAGGAGCAACACCACTGCAGACCTAGTCAG